TTATAAATAAACACGCTCAACGCATTTCTTCTTCATAGCTAAAAGCTGTTATCTTTCATTGTAAGTTTCTTCTCTGCTCTCTTATGTTTTCTTCATATTCTCTGATAGCTTGCTCTCTTCGTCTTCTCTCGTTAACAAATTAGTTTTTTTTCAATCTGTAGGTACCTCTTCATTATGTGTTAGTCTGCTCTCTTCATTTTCTTTACGGTAACTATTTATGTAATTTATACCTCTTCATAAATATTTTCATATAATTTATGTAAGTTGTGTAAAAATTCTAAAATATAAAATAAAAGTCTATTTTCAATTTTAAGTGGATCATAATTCAATATTTGGATAAGAAATCATATTGTACAAAATTAACCCGCTAAGTAGCATATGCGCACAATATAATAACGCTCTCCTCTCTCGTTCTAAGAAATCATATTTTATAATTATTTAAAGAAAATATAAATTTTAATAAAATAATTCATGTTAATCATATAAAAATATAATAAATTTTAAAAAATATGTTTTACTAAAATTTATAAGGAAATTTAGTAAAAAAATCTAAAAAAACTAATTTATTTCTTAAATTAACTACATAAATTATATAAAAATATTTAAATAAATCATTGTTATGATAAAAAAATTAATTCTTAAAAGAAATTTAATTTTAATTATTTTTTCTTTCAAAAACTAAATTGAACGATTGCCTAGTTCAAGGACCAAATTAAATATTTTTTCCCTTCTGGAGTCTATATCTTTAGATTTATTTTTTTACCTTGCATTATTTATCTACATTAAATCTTACCATTTTATGCTTAAATTCAGTTTCTGCTATTACAAATAATAAAATTTTAAATATAGTTCCCAGATATACTTAAACATCAATTTATAAAGTATTTACAAATTGTCAATAATACGAAAATATATTTATAAAGAACAATAAAATAAAATAAAATAAAATAACAAAGACCAGATACCAAGACTTGCAATGTTTATTGATATAAAATTAATTATCAGAGAGCATAAAATACTCTATCATATTATATAGCAGAAGTTAAATTTACTCTTATCTTATAAAATCGTTCAATTTATTATTAATAGTTGGAATATTTATTTATTTTAATTTGAAACACAAGGTTGCTATGGCATATGTTTTCCTTGCAGATTGGTGCCTTTATAGTTTCTCAGTTGCAGAACATACAATTTCTTATTCTCTGGTTGCTACTCCACGCTGAAGAAAAGGAGAGGCTCAGTGTTCACACTATTGATGTCATCGAAGTCTCCAGAATGAGGTTAAGACTTCACAGTTACCTTCGCTTCTGTTTGCTTTTTCATTTTTTCCAGTTTCTGCATCGTTTGTTTACGCTGTTGTTCCCATTCTTGATTTGAGTTTGTCATGAGCTTAAAGCAAAATTAGATCTAGTGCTCCATTGAGACTCCAAAATCTTCATCAACTAAATCTTGTCTGTGTTAAAATTATGAGCGAACTTTTAAGAATAAGTTAAGGTTGATTTTCTAATAGCTTAAAATTAACTGAAATTGCAGGGAAGTATCCAGATGCATGGAGATCGATGAAGAAGGACTCTGCATAGTTTAAAATGGAAGAAAAATCTTGGTTATTGGTTTATTGAACATAATTCAAATATCAATGTAAGTGTATTTCTTCAACTCCTCAATTTTCTACGTCCACTTTCTCAGGATTGCTTGCCGCCTCTAATTTTTCACCATCTTCTGATGCAGAATCAAACTAGTTTTTTCTTTATCGGTTTTATTAGAATTAATTTTAACGGTTAATTTTAAATATTTAAATTACTATTTATTGAAAAAATATTTTTATAATTTTAATATAATGAATGCTTTTTGTCATAAAAAACTTATTACGTTAATTACTTCTTGGAATCAACTATGATAATTGAAATAATAAAAAATGAGAAAAATTACATTTTCAGAGTTTCCTAATATCAAAAATTAATTTCAAGTTTATAAAAAGTGAGGTCTAATATTTGAAATCATAATATGAATAAGTTCTCTAAAAAAATCAGTTAAAAAATTAACATATATATTACCTTCACGCAGAATGTCTAAAAATGATTTTTCAATTTTTTATCACAAAATTTATGACTTTCGTTATAAATTTAATTTTCTAATAGTCTAGACATAAATAAAAATAAAGTTGTATGTCTCAAAATAAAATAAAGTTCTGGCATAGACAACAAATACGTGTTGATGGAATATAATAAAATATTCATATTGTCTTAACCTCTTAAAAGAAATTGAAATTAAAAGGAACACTAATTGAAACAGACAAAAAAAAGTTAAGCGATTTTTGCTTGTTAATTATATTAACAAAAATAACTTAAAATTCACTAATATTGCAGGGAAAGAAGGTGGATGTGGTTCACTCAGAAGAGAAGTGTTGAGATGCATGGACAGGCGAAAGAACGAGCATAGTTAAACCAGAAGAAATAACATAATACAAGTGCATAATTCAAATTTGAGTGTAAGTGTATTTCTTGAACTCATCTATTTTTCTAACTTTCTAAGGCCTTGCTTGTCATTTCAGCTTCTGATTCATCATATTCTCATATAAACTTATATTGATTAATGGTTAATTTTAAACATGTAAAATTAGTAAGTTTTTATTATTATTATGGTTATGCTTGTTTAGGATGGTATCTTGGGAGAGCTTGAGCAACCTTTTAGATCTTTCTATTTAAATTTTTATTTTTAAAATATTAGTTGTCTTTCTTAAATTTTTCATGAAGAACTGTTCTGATAACATACTTTATGAAGAACTATTCTGACATACTGTACGTTGCTGGGTATATTATTTTCAACGAGTAACATGTTATTCATCAACAAAACAATTACACTTATACTAAACCTCTTATAAATTGTTGAGACTTTTTCTTCAAATATGACAAATGTACCAAACCTGTTGCAAGTATTAATTAATAGAGTATCAGAATATTGTCCTCAGAAAATAATTCAAATGTATTAATTAATAAGATATAAATTAATTGAGCTTATATACAATAGATTTAATAGATGATTTTCATACAATGTTGAATAATAGTACAATTGTAAAGCAATAATGTAAAATATGCTAGAATTCAAAGTAAAAGTTGAGATTGAATTTCATCTATCTCTCTATATATATTCTAGTAATTCAGTGATAAATATAGCAACTATTTTCAATGAATTTGATGCAAAATACAAAAATTATATATCTCAGTTCCTTGAAAATATAATTCTAAGATAATTTCTCAAATATTGATTCCCCTAACAGTTAACAAACTATCCAGCATTAAACTCAGAATTTAAAAGCATTCAATAACTGAAAATCTATCCAGTATTAAACTTAGGATTTAAAAGCATTCACTAACTGAAAATCTATCCCTAGAATAATTAGTTATTGAGTAATTTCAATCAGATCTAGATCTAAATAATATTTTTTTCAAATACAACTCAAATCTAAGCTTAAGAAACCATCAAATAAACAGGTTCACATTTAAAATGGATTGAAATCACCAAATCAATAGAAATAAAGAAACAACTATATTTATATAAATTACTGAAAATACATCAAGTTTAAAGATTTACATTCAATCTCATATAAAATCTAGGCTCCCATAGCAACCATAGTAACAAGAATCGAGATATAAATGGAGTAAAACATCAAAAATCAAATATTCCTACTCTCTTCCTATGCTTTGCGCTGCTTTTCTTTACTGAAAGTGTATATCGAACAATCCTCCCCTTCCAAAAACATAAAAATTGCCTTAAATGCTAGTCTGTTCGAACTTCTCTCGCTACAGCGACATTTTCTCGCTGTAGCGATACATGGAAATAGAAATTAGGCCATCTGTTTTCCTCTCGCTGCATCGATAATTCTCATTACAGGGAAACAAGGGTGTCTCACTACAACGACACATACTCGTTGTAGCGAGAGGAGCACATATTTACCGGCTTCAAAATTAAGCTCTTTCGCTATAGCGAGGGTGTCTCGCTGCAGCGAGAAACCTTCGGAAGCAACTTTCTACAACTTCATGCTTTAAATGCTCCTTTTCTGAATTTTTCCACTCCTCTTCAACTTAAGTTGAAGTCTCTCATTTAATTCCAACTACAAAATAGATCAAACAGGGCATCAAAACACTAAAAATTGCATTCTTTTTCTAAACTATATAAGTATTTGTAAATATTCTAAGTTTAAGAGAAATTTAACAAAATAGTCCAACTAACATGAAAAGTGTTCAAGTTATCATCTCAAATAACTTATTTTATACAATTATCAACTTCTCCCAACCTAAAATCTTGTTTTTCCTCAAGTAAAGTAATTGAAGGCACAAAACATTTCACACAAGAAATCTTTGAAATTGGTTTGAGAATCTTTGCTTCCATGTTCATCATCTAAAAATTTTCATAACTTTTCAACTAAAGGAAGTTGTTCATGATCAAGGATTTTGGTTATCCATTTAAAAGAATCAGGATGCTAGTGCACTTCACTTTCGAAGATTTGAGAGCAACAACATTCAATACTCCAAAAAAAAAAAAATTCTCATTCTCACAAATCTAATGTTTCTCTCACTTTTCTTAATGAATTCCTTAGGTTTAGCTTTTCTCTTTGCTTCTCATCAAACTACATACACACAAAAGACATAGATCATAAGGTCTTTCAAAAAGGTTGTAATGTGGCTAGGCTTACAAATAAATCATTGTTTTTCTGGAATTGAAAGTGAGTTAGAACATTAGTGCAATCAAAATCACCATCCCATCTCTATTGTTCCTTACTTTAATTAACACCACATTTTTGTTAATCCTTGTATGTCTCGTTCTAATTTCAACATTTCTCTTTTCTTTTGTCACATTATTTTTTTTTATTCTTTTTGAATTACTTCTTTTCTTTTTCTAGAAGGAAACTCTCATAATTCATTCATTCATGTACAACCAGCTCATGTTTTTACACAATAACATTCAAGACCTATCATGCCATAATGCTCCTTCTCAAGGGTATGGGAAATAATAATAATGGTATGAGGTGCATAAATTTTTCAAAAAAAAAATTGCTTTTAGGCTCAAAGGCTTTCAAAAAAAAAAATATTGGATATATCTTAAATATGGGTTGGCTTTTTGGCCTTGGCTATAAAACTGTATTTACAACTATGCCCCAATCATCTTCATAACTTATTATCCTTTATAGCAATTAGAAACTGGAGCAAAATTAACCACCAGAATTCAGTGAAGTTTAATCACTTATTTACGGCACTCACACTTTCACTCATTTATCTGAAATCATTTTTTTGATACATAAATGAATTGCTCAAACTTTCTAATTAGTCATTTCTATGCACAAAACATCCTAACTCTTTTTCATTTAAACCTCAACTTTTCACATTCACAAAAATTATTTTTTCTTTACTTTTTCAAAACCATTCCTAGATTCAGAACATGGTCATTTGAATCTCTCCAAACCACTTTCCTCAAAATACATGGTACTATATCTAAAAACAAACAAAGGAGTTTTTCAAATCATTTTCTTTACTAACAACTACATTTACTCCATATGTCATTATACATCAGCTAAATCTGTACCATGGAACCACCAATGCACTTATAACTTGTCAAAATATGCTTCAACTACTAATGATGTCATGTTTTCATTATTACTCAAAATAGAAGTGCAAACCAAAATTAAAACACCTGGTCAATTACCACATAAGCACAAAAATAACAAAACACAATTATAACCATAAACATGAACTACATATAAAAACGTCCCTTAATTCTCTTCTTTCCTTTCTAAAATAATTTTCTCTCTAATCTTCCTCTTCTCTGTTAGCACCAGCATCATCATCATCATCATCATCATCATCTCCTTTTATGCTCCAGATGATCATGCCTTTCCCTGAAAGTGTGGCATGTCCCCAGGCCACTGTTAGTAAGTTGCAAACTCTTCTAAGCTCATCCATATGTGCTGGCTTGGAAATTGCAACTGAGCTTAATGATGGTAAGCATGTTGTTGATGCATCTGGCCCTTGTGGATAGTAGAATTCTGGAGAGCCAAATGATCTAATCATAGCTCTAGACGGTGAAGGCGATCTGCAAAGGCTGAATTATCCTGTCGATTGGGTGCTTCCTGCACTGATGGTTCTTCAGGCTGGGGTTGAGACTGTGGTGGTGGAAAAGGTGATGGAGCTCCTGGTTGATCCGCTATACAATGGTTCTGAATGTAGGCTAGAGTGATAGGGAGCTTGATAGGTTCATTGAACTGGATACCTCGAACTCCCTGTTCGTGACACGGTGCTATAATCAGAGCTGGGTACCCAAGTGAACCACTTTCCACTTTCCACTTTCTTGATCACGAACCTGTAAATCTCATCTATGATGATGTTAGCCACATCCACAGATCCCCCTCTCAAGATACTATACAAAAGGTAGCAGTATCTCATGGTCATGGATGATGTGTGAGCTCTCGGGACTATGTTATGGCATATGAAAGTAGTCCATACTTGAGACAAAGTAGTCATATTCTTCCAGTAGATTCTCAAAGCCTTTCCTTCTGGATTTGTGGTGTAGCTTCTGTTAGGAATGCACAAAGTCTGAGCAGTGGCAAGGTCACTGAAGGGTTAGGTGCATGAGTTGGGTTTTGTGTGGAAGAAATCTCTCTCATTCTCCTCCAGCTGTAATGGATTTCCCAAAAAATTATTGATAGCATCCTGGAGTAGTCAATCCATACTCCCCTCACCTTAGACCTTGTATCCAACCTTCTTGAGTTAAATTCTAACTTGGCATTGGCATAAAATTCCTTAACAATCTCTGGGTCATAATAATCTCTCGGTTCAGCCAATTTTCTCCATCTTCTTCTCTCAATTTCATTGTTGAACTCATCAAAATCTCCTTCCTGAAAGTCCACTCTCCTTTTCTCTATGATCAACCAATCTTAGATTTCCTTGAATCTATCATCCATATTCTTGTCTCAGAATTTCCTTGGATCAAACGGTGGTGGTTGTAAGGAAGAGGCTTCTTTCTATTTCTTGGATGGAGGAGCTAGATCCTTGTGAGCTCTAACTTAAATTCTCCTGATTTTTTTGTTGTAGCAAGAGCGGTCTTGCTGCGGTGACAATGTTCTTGCTACAGCGAGGGGTCTCTCGCTGTAGCGAGAAGCTTACAGTTTGCTTCCCCAGATTTATTTTAATACACTTCTAACCTTATCATTCTCCATTCCTTTTTGCCCATTAATCACTTTACAATCAAAACCAATTCATTTAACACCCAGCACTAAAGTTCACAACACAAAATTGGAATGAATACCTTGAATCATACACAAAGTCACAAAATACCAAATTGACGTTCTAAGCAACTAATAAACACTTAAAAATAAACAAACAAACAAACAATGCAAAAAGTAGAATTCCACAAATAAACAAACACTAGGTTGCCTCCCAGGAAGCGCTTGTTTAACGTCTCTTAGCTTGACCCCTATTACTTTAAGGATCATGCAATGAAATAATGGTGGTGAGTCTCTCTACTTCACCACCTAGGTATGGCTTGAACCTTTGTCCATTGACTATCCAGCTTCTCTGAGTAGTCAGATCTTGTAATTTCATAGCTCCATTAAGCTTTACCTCCTTCACAAGAAATGGTCTTGACCATTTTGATTTCAGTTTTTCAGGGAATAACTTCAACCTAGAAGTAAACAAGAGTACAGATTGGCTAGGCCTGAATTCTCTCTTAAGGATCTTCTTATCATGATAAGCTTTCACTTTTTCTTTGTAGAGTTTAGAGGATTCATATGCTCTGAGCTTCATTTCTTCCAGTTCTTGCAATTGAAGCTTCCTTTTCTCACCTGTTGCCTTTGGATCAAAATTTAGAAACTTCAAAGCCTAAAATGCTTTGTGCTCAAGTTCCACTGGCATGTGACATGCCTCCCCATAAACAAGCTGAAATGGAGAGAGACCTGTAGGAGTCTTATATGTCGTCCTATAAGCCCAAAGTGCATCATCTAGCTTAAGAGACCAATCTTTTCTTGAGGCTGTAACAGTTTTCTCCAAAATTCTTTTAATTTCTCTGTTAAAGACCTCAGCTTGACCATTTGTTTGAGGATGATAGGGTGACTCTACCTTATGCCTTACCCCATAATGCTCTAGGATCTTCTGCATTTGAGAATTGCAGAAATGACACCCTCTATCACTGATTAGTACCCTTGGTGTGCCAAACCTATAAAAAATGTTTTTCTTGAGAAACTTTATAACAGTTTTAGCATCTGCTTTAAGGGCTGCAACTGCTTCAACCCATTTTGACACATAGTCAACTACCACTAAAATATATTTATTAGAAAATGAGGATGGTAATGGTCTTACAAAATCAATTCCCTAACAATCAAAGGCTTCTACTTCCAGGATGCTTGAAAGGGGCATTTCATGCCATCTTGATGCTGAACATAATTATGTGCATCTTTGAATAAAGTGGGTTAATAAAATCCAGACCGGAAGACCTTTGCAGCAGTCCTTTCTCCGTTAAAGTGCCCACCATAGGGAGAATTGTGACAATGCCACAATATGCTTTGAATTTCATCTGATGCAACACATCTTCTTAATAGACCATTAGCACCCAGCTTAAAAAGATGAGGATCATCCCAGACATAGTAGTGAGCATCCTTCAAAAAAAATTTCTTTTGATGCCAGTTGAAATCTTTAAGTATAACACTTGCTACTTTGTAATTAGCCATATCTGCAAACCATGGCCTTTCTTGTACCAAAAGAAGTTTTTTATCTGGAAACTCTTCCATTACTTCTATTTCTTTGCTGGTCACCTCTTAGTTCACTAATCTTGATAGATGACCAGCAACAAAATTTTCACTGTTTTTTTTTGTCTTTAATAACTAAATCAAATTCTTGCAATAATAAAATCCATTGAATCAATCTTAGTTTTGAATCAGATTTAGTTAACAAATATTTAATTGCAGCACGATCAATATAAATTACAACTTTGGAACCAATCAAATAAGATCTAAATTTTTCCAATACATACACTATTGCTAATAATTCTTTTTCTGAAGTAGCATAATTCACTTGTGCTTCATTTAAAACTTTACTAGCATAGTGAATGGCATGGAAAACTTTAGATTTTCTCTATCCTAACACAGCCCCTACAACATAATCACTAACATCACACATTAATTCAAAATCTAAATTCCAATCAGGGGCGACAATAACAAGAGCTGAAATCAATTTTTGTTTAAGCAATTCAAAGGCATGCAAACATTCAACATAAAAATAAAAAGGAGTATCCTTATTGAGTAAATCTTTAAAAAATCTTTGGTGAACCGCCTGTAGAACCCAACATACCCAAGAAAACTTCTGATTCCTTTTACATTTGTTGGTAGTGGTAGCTTCTCAATCACTTCTACTTTTGCTTTATCAACTTCAATTCCCTTGGAGGAGATCTTGTGACCCAGCAACACACCTTTAGTTACCATAAAATGATATTTTTCCCAATTGAGCACCAAATTTATTTCAACACACCATTTCAGTACGGTGTCTAGGTTTTCCAAACAATCGTCAAATGATGACCCAACAACTGAGAAGTCATCCATGAATACCTCTATGCATTTCTCCACCAAGTCTGAAAAGATAGCCAACATGCATATTTGGAACGTGGTTGGTGCATTACATAATCCAAATAGCATCTTCCTATAAACAAAAATATCGAATGGACATGTGAAAGCTATTTTTTTCTAATCTTCTAGATCTATAGTAATCTGATTGTACCCATAATATCCATCCAGAAAACAGAAAAAAAAGGCTTGTCCTGCTAGTCTCTCAAAAATTTGATCCATAAATGACAAAGGGAAGTGATCTTTTCTAGTAGCCTGATTTAGTTTCCTATAATCAATGCACATTCTCGAGCCAATAACTGTTCTAATTGGGATCAATTCATCCTTATCATTTCTGATAACAGTCATTCCTCCTTTCTTTGGGACTACCTGGACTAGACTAACCCAGGCACTGTCTGAAATAGGATAAATCATTCCAACATCCAACAATTCCATCACTTCCTTCTTTACAACCTCTTTCATAGTAGGATTAAAACGTCTCTATTGTTGAACTCATCTATTTTTCTAACTTTCTAAGGCCTTGCTTGTCATTTCAGCTTCTAATTCATCATATTCTCATATAAACTTATATTGATTAATGGTTAATTTTAAACATGTAAAATTAGTAAGTTATTATTATTATTATTATTATTATTATTATACTTGTTTAGGATGGTATCTTGGGAGAGCTTGAGCAACCTTTTAGATCTTTCTATTTAAATTTTTATTTTTAAAATATTAGTTGTCTTTCTTAAAATATTAGTTTATAATAATTAAATCTTTCAACTGAAAATTGATTCAGAGTATATTATCAAACCCTTACATATATATTAGTAGTGAGAGTAATATAACAATGAAAGAGGTTTGTATATTTTAAGAGTAAGTTTTGATTATTTATATTAACAAAATATCTTTAAATTAATTGGTATTGCAGAGAGAAAAGGTACATGTGGTTTGCATAGAAGATAAATGTGTTCAGATACAAAGAGACGAACGACAGCCCATAATATAAACTAGGGGAAATAGCATAATACAAATACTTTGGCAAAAACTCTTGCTGATATTTTCTTGAATATTAGTGCATAATTCAAATATCAATGTAAGTGTATTTCTTGAACCTACCTATTTTGCTAATTTTCTAAGTCCGCTTGTCACTTTTGTTTGTAATTCTTAACCATCTTCTGTTACAAACTTGTGTCCTCGAAAGTAGTTTTCTTCTCCTATTCATTCTTTTTTATTTGTGAGTATTTTGCTCTATGATTGTGATTCGTGCCTTTGTTAGATGCAATTGCATTATCTCTTTCATTTTGGTTCTCAGATGAATAATAACCGAGTATAAGATGTATTACTGACAACTTCAACATGATTCAAATGAAGTGATTAATAGATAACTTAGAAATTATTCAGCTTAAATTTTCCACTGGCAAATTTTTTACGTTTGTGAGGTGTAATATATTGTCTATTGTAATATTGATGAGACAAAAATTCAAACTTTGTTTATGTCTTGTAAAATATTCATCTCTTTTCCTTTATTTCTCTTCTGTTGACAGAGTCTTTATCATTAGATTTTTTTTACTTTTTATATATTTTCTGCATTACTGTTGACACTTAATTGAAATGGGAAAAAATCAAGTTCTTTTTGCTTGTTAAATAATATTAACAAAACTTTTATTAAATTAACAGGTATTGAAGGGAAAGAAGATACATGTGATTCGCATCGAACAGAAGTGTTGAGGTGATAGAGATGAATGACTGTGCATATTTTCAACTAGGAGAAACAGCATAAGACAACCACTTTGGCAAAAAAATCTTATGTTATTGGTTTCTTGAATATAAGTGCATAATTCAAATATCAATGTAAGTTTCTTTCTTGAACTTGTCTATTTTCCTAATTTTCTAAGTCCACTTTTTTAGACCTTTCTTGTCACTTCAGTTTTTAATTCTTCAATATAGGGTAAATATTCAACATCCCAAGTTAAACATCTTGAATTTGAATTCACACCCAATCCTAAATATCATCTTTTCATAAGTATAAATATTATTTTCAATTTTTTAATGACATTATTTTCATATTCTTATATATTTAGTCATTGAATTTATTCAAGAGACCTAAAAGAAAGTTGTTCAATAATAAAATTATAATTATCATAATTATTCTTTAAATCCAACGATAAAAAATTATAATAATTAATTTTGTTTCTAAGTTTCATTTTTAGTTACCATCACAATATTTTCTTTTTCTGTACTTTTTAGTTTTATGAACTTTCACTTATAAATCATTAATATTGCCTTTAATATAGATTAGAATTTCTTTTTTTTATTTAGATATATTCTATATCTTTTTAAATATGCAATCAATAAAATCAATACATTAATAAAAACTGTCATCATAAATAAATTGTTAACTACTAATCAATATAAGTTCTCAAACAAGTTTTTCTATTTCTACGGTTATAAATAAATTTTATAATCATCAATCAATGAATTTGAAAAAAAATAAAAAATTGAAATAAAAAAAATATATTAATTCCCTCACAAACTCCAATAAAAATAAGGTGAGTTTGCATAATATCAGTGTATAAAATAAGGTCTTTTAAAAACATGTCATTTTTAATTGTATTTTCTTCAAAACATCAAATTATATGATATTCCTAATTTTTCAACGTGAATACTTAGTTTTATAAATATAAATTATGGAAATAGTGACAATTATGTGAATTAACGTAAATTTTGATTTACATATATATACATTATACAGACACATTATCCGATACTATTACAGGAAATTGTAAATTAATTTCGTGCCCTTTATTAACTTTCCTCTGTTGAATTCGATTTAGATGGCAAACATTGCAGTTGATTTGGTAAAATCAATTTTAGAAAGATTGATAAACTGCGCAATAGCAGAATCACGTTACGTATGCTGCTTTTCGGACATTGTTGAAGACATTGAAAAGGAAAAGAAAGCTTTGGAAGAAAACGTGAAAGAGGAAAAAAGGAAGGGAAACAATATTCGAACAGATGTCTCTTCTTGGCTAAAAGAAACAGAGGGACTCATTAAAGACACTCAGACGAAAAAGACGTGTTTTTTTGGATGGTGTCCAGATTGCAAATGGAGATATAGTAAGGGAAAGCAACTGGCAAATAAGAAGAAGGAGTTGAAAAGTGGCAATGTTGGAATTTCCCCTGTACTTCCAGGTGTTGAGTATCATTCTTCTCAAGATTATGTTTCTTTTGAGAGCAGAAAGTCGAAAATCGAAGAACTTTTTGATGCACTGAAAAATGACAGCAACTTTATAATTGGATTGCAAGGGATGGGGGGAACAGGTAAAACTACGTTGGCAAAAGAAGTGGGTAAGGAACTTAAGCAGCTACAGCAATTCGATCATGTCATTGATACTACAGTGTCATATACTCCTGACACAAGGAAGATTCAAGATGACATTGCTGCACCCTTAGGATTGGACTTCAAAGATAAAAATGAATCAGAGAGACTCAAGCTTCTTTGGAATAGATTAACCGGTGGTGAAAAAATTCTTTTGATATTGGATGATGCGTGGAATCCTATCAATTTTGATGAAATTGGAATTCCAAGGAAAGACAATCACAATGGTTGTAGAATCTTTTTAACCACACGTGAAATGAAGGTTTGCCAAACAATGGGATGCGAAAAGATAATTCAATTGGGGGTTTTAACCGGGGAAGATGCATGGACCTTGTTCAAAAAGCATGCTCATATAAGTGATCGTTCCTCTAAACGTTTGTTGGATAAGGGACGCGATATTACCGAAAAATGTGGGGGGTTACCAGTTGCAATAGCAGCCATTGCTAGCAGTTTAAAAGGTGAAGAAAGTGTGGAAGTGTGGAAATCAACTTTAAAATCCTTACAGAAGTCTGTGCCTATGCATGGTGTTGATGAAAGTTTGGTTGAAGTTTATAAATGTTTGAGGGATAGTTATGATAATTTGAAGAATGAAGAAGCCAAGAAACTATTCCTCTTATGTTCTATGTTTCCAGAAGATGAAGAACTTTCTAATGAAACTTTAACCACATTTGGCATTGGAGCAGGCCTTCTTGGGGAAGTGGATGGCAAATATGACGAAGCTCGAGACCAAGTCGTTGTTGCCATGAATAAATTTGTAGATTCTTGTTTATTGTTGAAGGGTGGAAAGCAAAGTGTTAAAATGCATGACTTGGTTCGTGAAGTGGCCTTATGGATAGCTAACGAGGAAATTCAAGCAGTAAATTTGTCTAGCAAAAATCAGAAATTATTGCTTGAGAGGAGGAAGAATATTAAATATTTGTTATGCGAAGGGAAAGGCATGGATGTATTTTCGTGTAAGTTTAATAGGTCCAAACTTGTGATTCTAAAAGTCGTCTACATGCATGAAGATGAAGATGAAAATGCTTTTGTGGAAGTCCCAAATTCATTCTTTGAAAATATGACAGAACTTCGAGTTTTGCATTTGTCATTGAATACATGGAGAGATGTTTATCTGTCATTACCTCAGTCATTCCCATCATTGACGAATATTCGATCTCTAATCCTTGAAAGGTTAAGCTTAGAAGACTTCTCTGTTCTGAAAAACATACAAAATCTTGAGACTCTTGATTTGGTTTGGTGCCGTATGTATGAATTACCAGGTGAAATTGCAAAACTTGAGAAACTTAGAGTATTGAGGTTAAGAGAATGTATTGTTGAAGATTTTAATTCAATTAAAGTGATTGAAAAGTGCTCATTACTTGAAGAATTGTACATTGTTAGTACGGATCTCACGTTTGATACTTCGGCAATGCATGAGAAAATAAACTTTCCTGCATTCCAAAGGTACATTATGAGTGACGATCGTACAGCGGTGGATGAATCGTTGTCAAAATGTGTGGCCTTTCCGAAGATTGATGCTATTTTCTCAGAAGTGACATTCAATCATTTGGTGCAAACATCCGAACTTCTTCATCTGCAAAAAATCGAGGGGGAATGGAGAAATCTCATACCTGATATTGTTCCCATATATAGAGGTATGAATGATCTAGTCGAGCTTTATTTATCAGACAGTCCACAATTGCGGTGTCTCATTGACGCTACACATTGATTCTCATAGACGAAGTTTCTTCTCCAAATTGATTAAGATAGAACTCCGTCGCATGGAAAATTTCGAAGAACTATGCAATGGTCCCTTACCCTTTGACTTTCTAAACAATTTACAGATGCTAGATATCTCGGATTGTATAAATTTGAGAAGCATATTGTTTAAGAGCAAGCTAAACCTCTGCTATCTGAAGACCATTAAATTGTACAAATGCCCAAAATTGGTATCCCTATTTCAATTGTCAACTTGTCAAAGCCTCTTGCTTTTGGAGAAACTGTCCATAGATGATTGTGAGAAACTAAAAAACATGATAGCAGATGAAAGAGTAAATGAAGATATAAGGGAAGAGATTGTTGATGTTGAGAATAATAACAAGAGTTGTGCCTCGTTGTTTCCAAACATGAAAACTCTTCATATTACACGATGTCCCCAATTGGAATATATACTTCCAACTCTTTCTACTCAAGTTGTTCCATTGCTAGAAACTATCAGAACACATTATTGTGGTGCGCTGAAATACATATTTCATCAATACCAACACGAACATGCAAGTGATCAAGAGGCAAAGGATATCATCCTTGGCTCACTGAAAGAGGTGGTGTTCTCTGGCTTGCCAAATTTCATTGATATTTTTCCAAAATGTTGTTGTTCCATTTGTTTGTCAGGGTCATCCTGTAAAAACGATTCCATGGAAAAAATAGAATCAAATATCAAGAAATGCAATATTTCTCCTTGGATCCATATGTGTTATCCTCATAAATGCAGACGCAAAGTCAAGAGTACCAAAAGTACAGCACTTCCATTCGTTTCCGGTGAACCATTGCAAGATAGTTCAAACTCATTGGTAACCCCTTTAACTTTGTGTGTTATCTTTTACGTACTTGTATCTTATGTTTATAGCATATATGCATATTAAACATCCCACCTTAAAAATTATCTTTAATACAACAGCATGTTATAAATTACTGCGAAGTAATTAGTATATAGTTGTATTGTATATTTTCTACCATTAGTAAATATTAGAACTAGAAGTTGACAACCAAATTCCAAGAGCTCAAAAGTTTTGGAGCATTAAATTACGGATTTTTAGCAATTTAAGCCTATCTTTAGCATTTGTATAAGATAAAAGTTTTACATACATTCCCATTTCCTTGAGTTCTATGCAAAGAGATATTGTTAGATGTGATTTAAGAACACTTTTTTGGTATTGCATTTTAGGTGTCAAACTTTGACTATCTTCATCTTTGGCAACGTGCTCAATGTCTTTCGAAGCAACCACAGATCATGCGCAATATTAAAAATATGAACCTACAAAACTTTTCAAAGATCAAATCTGTATTTATCTTGTCTATTGCTCCAATGATGTTGGAAACTTTGCGAATTGAGGATTGCGACGAATTACAGCACATAATAGTAGACATTACAGATGGTGACAATAATTTGAGTTATGTGTTTCCAAAATTGAAAAAGATCATTGTGAAAAGTTGTAGACAATTGGAATATCTATTCGGAAGTTGCGATGATCATCAGAATCATAAGATAAATGTTGATCTTCCTGTCTTGGAAAGTCTCTGTTTACGTGATCTGCCATGTTTAATTGGAATTTGCTCGAAAAACTATTCCACAACATTGCCGCCTTTGATGAAGTTTGTACTCAATGGATGTTCTCAGATTAGCATTAAATCTATTGGGGATTTCATCCTTTCTTTGAGTAACACATCTATTAAGGTACCCTTCCTCCCATTTATCGTTGAATTGATCATTGATTTTAATCCAATTATTATTATGGTAAATATTCTTTTTTTTTTACTAAATACTAACATTATAACATCATTTTCATCCAATTATTAATAAAATTATATATTTTTTTTGTGGTTATTAAATAGTTTTACTAACTTAATTTTAAAAAAGTTAAAATAAGTTCGTAAATAAACTAAAAGCCCGTGTTATCCATCGTAACCAAAATTCAAAATAAGATATTATTTAAAAATGTTGTTACAAAGAAACTGTTAGTGATACTCTTATTTTCCTAGTCCTAATTTTAAATGTTATTTTGAAAATATTAATGGAATTTTGGTTTTTTAATCTGTGACTTTATTTATTCATTTATTTATTTATTTATTGCAGGAGTTGAGTGAGACCAAGCATCTTCTCTCTTTGGAAAATCTGTGGGTAGATGGCTCCAAAATTGAAAATATTTGTTGCTTCAATGAAATAATTGGGCAAGAAATAATCCTAGGGTGGGAAAACATTCGGTTGGAAGATCTGCCTCATATGACCTATCTTTTTGTAGGTCCTAGGAATTCTTTTATCCTCCAAAACCTTATGGAGCTAACTATTGCGCAATGTGAGAAATTAGAAGTAATCTTTACTGCTTCTATTTCAAGATGCTTACCACAGTTGGAAAGACTACTCATAAAAGAATGTAAAGAATTAAAGCAGATCATTGAAGAGAATGCAGAAAATCAGGAAATGTCTTTCCCAAAGCTAGGAGAGATAGTTGTCGAAAAATGCAACAAATTAACATATCTCTTTCCTTTCTCCACTTCTAAAGAGCTTCTTCAGCTAAGACTTCTGATAATAAAAGAAGCCTCTGAGTTAAAGGAAGTATTTAGATGCGAAGCTGATCAAAAAGTTCAGTTTCCACGGCTAAGACTTTTAGTTTTTGTAAAACTACCAATCTTCAGCTTCAGCCAGGGGATTCAATTGGAGTATACAGATCTTTGGGTGCAGAGTTGTCCAAATCTCTCTTTGACTTCAACGATAGAGTCCGATCAGTTGAAGCATACAGTTCATGGCTATGCCTACGGAGGTATACATTGTATTTGTCTTTTATTTGCCCTAGCAGGTGTACATATTTATTTATTTATTCCTATGAATTATTCTCTAAAAGAGTTGTTAATCTTTAATATTTTGTTACAAATATTGTAGAAGGTTATTATTCTTGGGAAATATTAAGAAACATTGTTCAAGATCTTAAACACTCAATAATCCAAGATCCTAGCAATGAATGGCAAACTACCAAAATCACTGAAGACATTCAAGGTGAGCTGGAAGTCCAAGCAACATCACAAAGTGAATTGGCTTCTTCAGAAGTCAATACGAATCAATCCATTGCAGAGATAAAGCATGAAACTGTTGAAGAAGATTCGAGTTTAAAGATACCATCGTCAACAACATCACCAATTAAATGGCATGAAGCACATTCAGATGTAAGTATACTATTAAGGTATTCTTAGTATTGGAGATAACTAATAGCTCAAGACTAATGCTTCTGCACTCATTTAGGTGTTGTTGGATGAACAATCAACAGGAGAACCATGCTTGATGAACCAAAACCAGGCCATTGGACTAACTGATACCACCTTTAAAATTTCTCAAGGAAATAATGTAACCACCTAAATATGCATATAATGCTCTAAAACTTCACATGAAATGAATAGTACTTCGAATACCTCTTAGTAATATACTACAACTTATTCACTTTTTTTTTTGGTATACAGTGTCTTAAAGAAATAGAGGACCAAAGTAATCAAGAGGATTCTTTATCAAAGCAAACTATTACAACAACTTTATTCATGGATTCAGAAAAAAGGAACACATCACCCAGACAATTGCTTCCTCCTATACAAGAGGCATTCCCTTGTTATCCTTTTTATCTCTATCAGCATAAGAATATAAATATGCTCCAAACCTTGATATATAATTTGTTACATGCAGGGTGTTGAGAGAAATTTTGAAGTAGGAACAACATCAGCCAATGTTGTGATAGTAGCATCGCCTAACTATGGGAGAACATTCTTCAATGAAACACCAATGGAAGAACATTCCTCAATGAAAGAACAACAGCCCCTTGGAAAAACTGATATTGGTTTTGAAGTTCCTCAAGGAAATAATGGAATGCCACCACCTAACTAGGTACATGATGCTAAAAAAACTTGACAGGAAATGCAAAGTACCTTAAATATTTTTCTTAGAAATATATTGTAACTTATTTACATTTTTTTTTCGTATACAGTGTTTGGAAGACAGAGAGAACCAAAGTACTCAAGAAGGTTCTATATTAGGGAAAAATACAACAGCAACGCTACTGATGAAGTCAGAAATAAGGAACACATCACTCGGACCATTACTATCTCCTTTAGAAAAAGTATTTTCCTGTTTATATTCAATATAAGAGTGAAAGAATGCTCTGAATTTAAACACTTTTATGATTATGTGAAGGGTATTAAGAGAAATGTTGAAGAAGGAAATACATCAGCGAATTTCAAGTCAATAACATCATTGACTCGTTCAGAACTAGGTCCATCAGTTGCTTCTAAGGGTGAAACATATCCACGTGTAAGTTTACTATATTTAGTCAAGCTTTCAAATGTGTTTGTGTGCTTAAAAGTAATATTGTAATGTTCCTAATTCATTAATTTCAATGAAAATGAGGATGAATATAATGTACTAATGAATATAATGAGGATGACTATGTAAAGATAAAACTTTTTAGATGATGCAACATTTGCTTATTTGAATCCTTGTAGGAACATGGAGATGGCCAAATGGCCATACCATATGTTTTAGCTGTGCCTCCCTCTGCTCAAGATACTTCAGAGATAGCGCTTGCCCTCACTAACTCTCATGATCCAGGTCTTCACTCATGCATCCACTTTCTCTTTTTAGGTTATAACATTTGTGTTTTGATTTTGAACTCTTTCTCCCCCACCTTTCCGTTAGTTTCTTTGAACTCTTTGATTAACTTTCAGGGAGCCAATACCAATTCCTTGGTTAATTGGTTCTAAACCAATTCTAGATTCCAAATTTCTTAGGTAAACAAGAAGATGATCAGCATTACGTTTAGAAATCACATAACCACACCATTCGAGACTCGTATTCCTAAATAATCCATAATGAGCTATTTAACTCAAATCTAAGAAAGGTTATAGCTTCTCATTTATAAACTCCTTTTTATCAACTTTGAATTTTATGAAACAGCAAAACTTTAAGTTCAGAATTAAATAAGTTATATTTAGATTGCAATGGGTTATATTCAATATTCAGTTCATTGCTATATGTAAAAGATTAAATTCACACAAAGTAAAAGGATTGGAGAAATAAAACCTTATTTCCTATCAAAATCTCATAGAAAAGTAAGAAGGAAACAGACTAGACGACATTTGTGCGTAAAGATGTACGAAAAACCTAAAATTTTGTGCCTCTCAAATGTAATAAAAGATGTTGTCTTTTGCAGAAAATTTTGTTTTTATATGCTCTGTCAAGTTCGTGTCCCCAATGCATGTGTCCACAATTATGTCCTGCAACAATTCAACTTCTTTTTTTTTTAATCCAATTGTGATTTCTCTTCTAAATCTTTCAAAAATCAACCACAAACCATTAATAACTGAACAATTCATTACATTCCCAGCAATAGCATCTTTCCATTGAATATAATTAATTTGCATTTACTTAGATTATTAATTCAATGAAATGTGCCATAAACCTTCAATTTACTACATGAGTCAATGACTCATCATATTATTTCTAGCCTACTTACTCACCCTTTTGATTTTAACTCTTTTCTTATGCTCCTTTGGTGTAATTTCTTCAAATGTCGATACCTCTATCAAGCATGTTCAATTATTAAATAGCAATTTTTTATAGGATTTTCAAGAGCAGAAGGCCCTGCAATTTTAGAGGGAATTTCTTGTACCACTGCAGAGAAAGTCATTGCATGTCCAACTCTTGAAGAGATCACTGCTGCTGTATGTGTTGAAGGTTCAACTAAACCTGCAACTACTCAACCAATAGTGGAAGAAACAGGTTTAGTGCCTCCAGAAGTAACAAGTGAATCAACTTTTCTAGGGTTGGATGAGATTAAGAAGCTGATCGAAGAAGACCCTCTTAGTGCACTTGAAAATCTTCTCATTGGGAAAGTCTCTATTTCACAAATGCAAAGTTCTTCCATTGGAATTCTACTTCAAGATTTGAAGGCTTTATTAATGGACTCAAACCTCGACCATCTTGTAACTCATGAGGAGTCTAGATCAAAACTGGTTTCTCTCTTGGAGCAGTTGAATCAACATCAAAGGCTCTTATCTTCAGAAGCCAAGGACTTTGTGAAGAACGTGGAGAACTTCTGCGATGACTACTTTGGCAAACACACAACTTCTCAACAAGTAATAAATAAGCACAAACAACTTCTCCAATCTAAAGAAGATCTTCTTAATAAGCTTTCAAGTGCAAAAAGCACGCAATCACGCATCGATAATAAAAGTTGCACAGCCAAGGTTCAAATAGATGAGCTTTCTTTGAAAATTGATGATCTGAGAAAACAAGTGGCAGATACGGAGCATCAAATAGATGCTTTAAAGTTAACAATGAAAATGTGTGATCTTGAAAAGGAGAAGTTGAAGGCTGAATGCACTCAATGGGCCCAACAGAGTGCACAATTACTTTCTGCACTCTCTTCCTCAGAGATTGATGTCCAAGAAGTTCAACATGCCAACAATATGGCAAAAGAAGCCTTTGCAAATCTCAAATCATCTTTTCCTACTTTTTAAGTCATCATATTGTAATCTTCTTTTCCCCGGCACTTGAACTTACAACTTATTTAGTTTTCAATTTCAACTTTCTGAAGTGTTGGTGTATAAATTGTTTGTCTTCTAATATTTGTCATCAATAAGGAAAAAAAATGGTAGTAATGCACTTTTTTAACCAACGTGTGTGGTTAGTTTTTTTACTAATTAAGTACCCCCGAGTAAATGAGAAAAGAAAATTGAACAAAAGTAGGTATTTTTGTTTAGGTACAACAGAATTTAGGATGATTTTTTGAACTGTTCAAGCTCCAACTTTGAGAATAAACTTTGGGAAGGTCATGGCTCTAATTATTAAAGAAAGTTTTTCTGTTTGTTAACATTCCATATCAGGTCTTATTTAACGTGTGTATTGTTTACTAAATAATTATATTCGTAGACTTGTCCTTGTCAATTTGGGACAAAAAATGTAGTAATTGGAAAGTGCTTGGTGGAACAGTTGAAGTGAAATTGATCGACTGAAAATAGACTATGAAATCATTAGATTTCTAAACCTTATCGAGGAATTGGTAGTTGAAATGGAAAGATAAAAAGGGAAGTGCTGACAATTGACATTCATATATGTTGCTGACAATTTAATTGTAAAAAGAAATCATACAAAAGTTTTACACAAATGTAGTTTCTCATCACAGATCATCAAGAATGCTATATGATAACTTCTTTTATCTTTTGCTATTGATAATTTCACTTTTGTACTAATGTTTGATAATATATCAATTTAACTATTGCTATTTAAAATAAACAGTAAATTCAATTATCGATTATTATTGATTAATAAAGCTTGAAAAGGTAAATGATATATTGAAAAGATTCTGTTCGTTTCTTAATTTTTTCAAAAGTTGAATCTGTAATCGTTACATAAATGTCATTTAATAAGTTATTAAAGTCAACTTAAAAAATGTTAATTCGAATCAACCCATCAACTGAGTAGATTAGTTCACGAGTTAACTCACCAAATTTTAAAATTAAAAATATATACAAAATCTAAAAAAATAAAAATTAAAAACACAAACACAGAGATAATTAAGTCTATATATATATATATATATATGGTTATCTGGTATCAGAGCCTGATGGAGAAGTAGGAATATAATTGTTGATTATTTGTAACTATGTTCTTCTGGATCTGGACTTTAAATTCCGTTTAAATTATTGCAACCATGGTTTATAGGCTGGACAGCTGACAGGCCCTTCGGGTGAGATCATTTATGATCATCCCTGTCTGTAACAATGCCACGAACTAATGATTGCAGAAATATCGCTTTTGTATAGTTCTTTAATTTTATGAAAGACATTTACTAGAAGTACAGCAGTTCTTAGTTCTTTTGAATAGGGCTGTAGCAGTAAGTCCCATGTGGTTAAAGGGTAGTAAGGCTAATTTGACGATACTGTATTCAAAAGAAACAAAGAACATAAGAAGCTGGTAGCTATGGTAAAAGAATTTTAGAATTTGTAAATTCTTTTTTTTTACAAACAAAAAAGTCCACAAATAACCAGATCCAGTTGAAAAAGTTATAAATAATTAACAGATGTATTTTACGGAACCAAATGAAGGTGATGAGGCAGAAGTATTTTTATGATGTCTCGTCTTTTGCGCTCCTTCTCCCGTATCTCCTTCTGTTCTGGGTCTAGTTCATCCTCCTCCTCTCCAACTAAAACCAATCTCTTTAATGATCAGGAGAAACAGTCTCTTGAGATTACACCCAAACATAACCTTTTCGACGAAGAAGTTCGTTTCGAAGAGATAAACCAAAGCATGGATGATTGGACCATTCCAGAAATCCCTCAGGATACATTATATGTTCCTGAAGAACATTCCAAGAAAAACAGTTTTGATTATATTATTAAGACTGTTGAAAACAACATTCCTTTAGGGAAAGACTTAGGAGAAGAATTTCATCTCCTTTCCAAATCCTCCATCAATGAACACAAGCGAAAATATAAGTACCTCCACATAGGATGTGTTCAGGTCGCCATTAAGCCTCTCATAGATATAGGAATAGATGCAGCTATCCTTATGTGTCTTAGAGATGCTCGCCATAATGATTTCAATGACTCCCTTATAGGTACAATTTAAACCAGTATTGGTCAAGGTCCAATATATTTCAATTGTTTTCCAAACAAGTAGTGAGTCTTTTAGATGATCATATTCTTGACTCTCTGTTTCTCAATGTTTCTTTTCATGGTTTAAACATGAAAGAGGGATCCATTCCCGTAGCTTTAATCTATAGGATTCAGTATAAAGCCATGAACTCTTGTGCTTCTAGAGTCCTTCTAAAACCCCAAAGAGGTGAGACTACTTTGTTTATCACTGATACGACAAAAGCCAACGTCTCTCTTCCTAGAATAATCAAGTGGGATGAAGTTTCCTTTCTTGAGAAGTGGGTCCTGGACAAGGCTTCGCCTTGTGTCCCTAGACCTGCTCCTCAAATCGAAAATATTTCTCAGGACAATTCTGGGAAAGTTGAAATAACCTTTGATAGGAGAAACTCCTTCTCTTCTAGAGTCGATGCTTATAGTAGTCGATCTAGTTTTGCTTCTGCTAAGAGGTCATTCTCTTACATATCCCAATCTTCTAGATCTGAAATCTCTAGATCTATTAACCATGATCCTTCTATAAACCTACAAGGTCTAGATACTTTTTCTAGGATTCCTAGAAATGTTTATCAAACTTCTGAAAAGGAAAAAGAAAATCAGAGTATCCAATCTCCAACCTACTCTTCCCTTAATGAGTCTTATGATGTTATCTCATAAATTCATTATAGATAAGGAAACCCTTAGGAAAGATTTCTACTCTGAGGATTGGAAATCTCAAAGAGAATGGTTCTTTCAAATTTATAGGGGAAAAAACAGGTCAAATATCCAAGAGGAATTCTATCAATTTCTCAAAAAAGTCAAACAAAACATCTCATTCTTTGATTGGTATCATGCTTATACCATTCATAATAACATAGATTACCCTTGGCAAGAGGATGTTATTAGTACCTCCTCTGCTAATGTCATATCTTGGCAAATCAAAGATGGACAAATCATTCAAAGTGAACTGCCACCCACTACTCAGTATCAGTTACCAAACTTGAAAGACAAAAGCGGTAACCCTGTTACTGCTACTCCTTTCAAAACCAAGAACCCTGACGAGTCTATAACTCCTAATGACATCCAAGGCCTCATGGAACAGGCTAATTACACCAATAAATACCTTCAGGTTTTAGGAGAAAAAATCTTTTAATCCTGTCAAACCTAAAGTTGAAGATATGGCTTCTCCATCCTCTCAACCTCAATTAGAAAAACCTTTGTTTAAACCTTTTAAGATTAGCGCTAAAGCTAAGCAGAAAATCTTAGAACTCAGGCAGAAAGAAAAACCAGAGTGAATGAGGATAACCAGAATGAGTTGCTTAGTAAAATTACTAGTCTTCTTACTACTGTTCTCAACACTCCTCAAACTTCTGAAGAATCTAGTGCTAAACCTAGAACTAGATCTCTTACCAAAACTGTCAATGCTATTTCCAAAACTGATTCGGAACATTATTCTGAAACAGATTCTGTCTTAGCTATCAATCTTATCAACAATTGGAAAAAATCTTCCAAACTTTATTATAATAGAGCTACTGCTCCTGATCTTATTTTAGAAGAAAAACAAGATTTTATTCAAAGTTTCAATTCTAATGATATTTATATTTGGAATATTGATGGATTATCTGAATATAATATCATCGCCAAACTCCAAAACATGTCGGTTGTCGCCATGGGCTATTTTACTAATCAAAATATGCCTGAAGACACCATTGTTTATATTCTAGTTGCAGGATTTACTGGCCAACTCAAAGGTTGGTGGGATAATTATCTCACTGAAGCTGATAGAGAAAACATCCTCTCTGCAGTAAAAATTGATGACAAGGGAAAAACTATTGTCAGTGACAATGAGCATCTCCCTGATGCAGTGTATACGTTGTTATACACAATATCCAAACATTTTCTTGGCGATCCTTCTCTGTGGAGAGAAAGATCCGGAGAACTCCTTTCTAACCTCAAGTGTAATTCTTTAGAACAATTTAAATGGTATAAGGATACCTTTATGTCTAGGGTCTTAACCAGAGAAGATTGCAATCAAGCCTATTGGAAAGAAAAATATCTTGATGGGCTTCCTAAAGCTTTCGGAGATCTTATTAGAAGCAAACTCCGAAGTCATTCTCCTACTGGAGAAATTAATTATGACAGTTATGACTATGGTCAGCTTACTGCCATCATTATTCATAATGGCATCAAGGTTTGTCAAAAGGATAAACTTCAGAAGCAACTTGCCAAAGAAAAGGCCCTGAGTAAGAAAGAATTAGGATCTTTCTGCGAGCAGTTTGGTCTTCCATCTTGCTCCACCAAAAAGAAGAAACAGGCTCCTAAGAAAGAGACTGATTAACCTTATAAAAATCCTTACAAACGTAAATACAATAGGAAACCTCCTTCCAAGAAGCAAGGGGAAAGTGTTATCCCCACCAATATTCCCAAGAAACCTAGAACAGGCATAACCTGTTCCAACTGTGGCAAACCCGGCCATATCAGTAAATACTGTAGGCTGAAAAAGAAAATTAGCAGTCTCAACCTTGAGCCTTCTATAGAAGACCAAATTAACAATCTTCTTATCGAAACCTCTTATGAAGATTCTGCTAAAGAATCAGATGAGGACGTCAACCAAATCCAAAATGATGACCAAATTCCTTCTTTTGATAGTGATGAAACTCCAGAAATCAATATTTTGACAAAAGAACAAGATCTTCTTATTGAAGCAATAAGCTCCATTTCTGATCTTCAGGAAAGGAAAGAATTTTTAAATAAATTCAAAGAGGTTTTAGAAAATAAACCTAAACCCAGAGAATATTTTACTACAAATAAGTTTGATATAACAAATATTTTCAAAAGATTAGAAAAAATTCTAGTATCAAACCAACCACTATTCAGGATCTCCAGATTGA